AGAGAGAGAGAGAGAGAGAGAGAGAGAGAGAGAGAGAGAGAGAGAGTTGCGTGAATCCACTTAACATACGATATCGCTCGATGCATCGTCGCCTCGATGATTAATACGCGCCTACGCTCTAAGAGAGAAAATATTTAAGGAATAAACAAATATTCATTCGTTGGGTACTAACAACACATTTATTTGTACAACAATATAAAATACTTTCCAAATTCAAGAAAATATACATTTTCTTGAAACCTTGACTCTTCATAAAAGCTATTGTTTATTCTGCTTAAGTAAAAGGATTTAGATTTAAGGAAATATGCATGAAAAAGCCAGTTTGGTCGGATTAACCAAGTTTCTGTGGCGCTACACAAACAAACCAGAATTCCCAGACGAGTTTACCGAATTCTGCTGAAGTCTCTGGTTAATTTGAACAGAATTTTTATAGGTTTGAGCGGGTCCTATTTTTTCATTCGCATTTCATCAGAAATCCAACCAAATATTTTTTCCGTGTATTATTAGTATCCACTGAATATTTTTTTATTCCTTAAATATCTTTTCTTTTGATACAACTCTATGTACTTTTACCGAAAAGAGAAAAGGAAGAATTTCGCGATGACCGATGCAACAAAAATGCACAACGTGCACGTTCAAGAGTCACGTGCCCGCATATTATACTCTGAGAGAAAAATATAGTTGCCTTTGGCGTCAACTATACTCTTTTGTGATTTTAACCACAAAAATAATTAGAAAAACCATTGTTCTAGTAAGTGTTATTAGAAAGATGGTTCTTCTGGCTAAATTATTTTTCTGGCTAAAATCACAAAAAAGTATAGTTGACGCCGAAAGCAATTATATTTTTCTCTCAGTGTATTTATTGTTTTATCGCGCGAAGGATGCGCGACTCGTGTCAACTGACACTTGGTCCGTGGCTGGACCTGCTGACACTCAAGACACAGCCTCTCCCGCCCGAGGGGAACCTGTGGGAGGCATAGCGTGTCAGCGCGACCAAGGCGCGAATACAAAGTATTCGATGTCATAATCGACCACTGGTTTTCAGATAAAACCAGGCGAGCCATTGTCCAGGCGACCTGAAGGAGAACTGAAGCACGTATCACCCTTACGTCACCGACTATGCGACCGTCCTTGACGGCACGTTTTCCGTTTCGGGGCTTCTGCTCTTACACGACGAGTTTCCCCGCCTCGGGGGCTTATTTTCTTCGCTTTCTTCTCTCTTTCTTTCTCATGACGCCACCGCATCGAGTGCAACCGCACGCAATTGGAGTATCAATCACACGGCTAGTCTCGGGATCATCGATACACGTTGTGGGACGTAAAGTAAGCGCTTTTCGCGGTAATAATACGGTCAATAGCGATACGTAAAATTGTAATCGAGAAGATTCGCGTTCTTACAGCGTATATTTGATACGAAACAAATGTGCACGGATTGAAGACGCTGCGAGACAAATTGGCAATTTCTCTCAGTTTGCGCAATTGCCTTGTAATGATCGTTGGTATTATAGGCAACCGCGGCAGCTTTCTAATGTAACCCTAACATTTTATACAGTTGAAAGATCAAGTTCCGCAGGAGAACTCTCCTGTGGTCTTCCCGGATGCTTAACAATCCAGCGATTTCCTGGATGGGAATAAACGCGAGACGAACGCCACGAGATCTAGCGTAAAATTTGCCCGAGTGTGTTTCTCACGACGCGGACAGCCGTTAGAAATCGAAACCGCAGGCCGAGCAATAAGTTTTTCGACTGTCAGCGACGACCGGTCGGATTCCATCGAGGCAAACATTAAGCGTCGCTGCGCGCGCGAATCCCCATCATAAAATACGCGATGTCAATTCGTGCCGCTTAAGCGATTGGGTTTCGCAGTAAAAATCGCTGCGCAGCAATCTTAAAACGTCGCGTCGCGTATCGCAATTAAGTGGCCAATAAAGTGTCACATCGTTATGAAACGCGCTGACAACGATCGGCAAGAGCGATGCTGTCTCCAGCTAAATGAGGCTGCTCCAAGATGTGTTTATCTTTGCTTTTAGAGAGCACTTCACTGATCAGCCTACCAGAAACCACGAATAAAATACGATTACGTGTATATTCGATGGGGAAATTTGTAACCGTTACAAGGATTGCGTAAGAGAAAATGCAGTAACAAGAACATTCTCGTTCTCGTTACTTGCGCATCATAAAATTTTTCTGAACTTTATAAAAATACAAGGAAAAGAAAGTTTAGTCGAATCAACCAATTTCCGATGAAATACGAAGAAAAACCAGAATTCAGATCGAATTCTAATAATTTCAGCCGGAATTTCTAGTTTGTTCATATTTTTGAAATTTCAGATTTCAGAAATTTGCTCAATCGAAAATTCTGATTAATCAGAAATTTTAGTTGGTCAATCAAGATCTTGTTGATTTCCGCAAAATTTCTGCCGGAGGAGAATTTCTGGTTAATTTATATTTTATCAGAAATTTGCTTAATCTAAACTTAATTTGTTTAACTTAATCTTCTTAATTTGTTTCCGTCAAATTCACATGAGAATTCGAGGCAATATACTGTTTGCAGAAGAAAATATTCAACAAATCAGAATTACGCTTATAGATTTACAAATGTTTACTGTGTCGAATGATGCACATAAAATTCTGTCGCGAATTGCAGATCGTCTAAAGCGATAACGCGAAACCAAGTGGAAAGGGACAGAGGCAAAGGAGAATGAAGGAAGAGAAAAATCTGTGATCTAGAAAACGATAGGCGAAGCCACGTCATGTTCATTCATCCCCGCGTTACGCAAGCGACGTGTACCCGACAATTAACCCATCCCAGAACACTTTCCCTATTTTGACACGCCACGCGCGAATACAGTTCACGCCGCTTCTCTACGCGTCGTAAACAGCGGTAAGACGATCGAGTGCAATTTTTTCACAGGCACCCACAGTACGTCCGCCCTGATATGTCACGATATCGACAATTTCCCTGCGAATAATCGTCGTGCGAGCACTTCGCATTCGACGAATTGCACGCCGTCGTTACGTAAAAGAGCGTTCTCGCTCTTTGAAAAAATTCTCAAGAAATTAACGACAGCGTTTTCTCCGTCCGAAGAAACAACAACGCGACTTGGACTTTGCCTTGCCGCGAAGAATGATTATACCACGTGGAGGCGTGCGATAAAAAATCAAAAAACTCCTCACGGATGCATCAACCGCAGTGTTTCCACAAACCACGTGTACCACGAGACGTCGTTGCGTAAGAGAACGTTCTAGCGCTCCGCGAAGTGCTCGCAAAAAAAGTGCAAAAGTGCAAAAGTGCAAAAATGATCGGTCCGCCTCTCCTCCGTTCGCGGAAATGGAAGGACGGACACTTTATACGCCGTGAGCGGTAATTAGACCACGTGCGCGGAGAAATGCAATACCAGAAAAGCTCTCGTCGACTGCCGCGTCGGAGCTGGATCTAATAACCAGCCGCAGATGAGGTTCCACGATCTCAACCTCGGTTGTACCGTTATGTAAAGACGTTGTAAGAGACGCGCCTCTTCCCCCCTCTCTCTCTCTCTCTTTCTCTCTCTCTCTCTCGCTCATCTGATACGCTCTCTCGCGTCCGCGCGACTCCGCAAATCCGGACGCGATATCTCGGTGCGCGATATCTCGAATTTCCGGCCAGAAAATCTCGACCTACCTTGCCGGAAGTGGGTGAGCCGGAGGTCGGACTGAGACCCTGCTGCAAATGATACATCTTCGGGGTGAGCATAGCTGGTGGTGCGCCGAGGCTACCCGGGGCGACAGCCACGCTCGTCATGGTCATTTCCTGCGACGGTCGCAGACCTCAGCGTCTTGGCAACACCAGTCCGCGCCCTCCAGTCCTCCGCGCAACCTCGCATCCTCAAGTCGTGGCGAGTCTGTAAAGCAAATCGATTCACCCTTTACGACTGCTGTCCTGATAGGTCCTACAAGAATATCTGTTGCTAAGATCGTAAAAGCGTTCAAACATGATCAATCGCTTTTCTTCTTGTACACGAAATTTCTTCTTGTACACGAAATTTTGGTCCTATGTTAGACTTTGAGTGTCTATTAAATAAATTAACTACTTTTTAACTTTTGGCTATTTTTCCTCTCAGTATCCCGAGTCGAAATCTTGACCTTACTTTCAGCTTTATTATTCAACATTTTTTATTCAACCTATTTTGATATTTTGATATTCCTACACGGAAAAAAAGATTTGCTAATATATGGACAACTAAAATTATTATGCTAATTATTATGCTAATTATTATTATGCTAATATATATATATATTAGCAAATCTTTTAGCTATCACAACTAAATAACTTTGCTATAAAAACAAGAAAACTTGTTCCTACAGTTAATATTTTTAGTTGTCCATATATTAGCAAATCTTTTAGCTATCACAACTAAATAACTTTGCTATAAAAACAAGAAAACTTGTTCCTACAGTTAATATTTTTAGTTGTCCATATATTAGCAAATCTTTTTTTCCGTGTAGGAATATCAAAATATCAAAATAGGTTGAATAAAAAAGCTGAAAGTAAGGTCAAGATTTCGACTCGGGATACTGAGAGGAAAAATAGCCAAAAGTTAAAAAGTAGTTAATTTATTTAATAGACATTTTAATAAAACATATTTACTTTATACTAATATAAATATTTTTCAAATAAAAAAACATCTTAAAATCTTAAGAAAACATTTTTATCAAGATATTTATTCTATTTAAATATAAAAAAATTTAGAAATTTAAGTAAATTTGCTATCGATACCCACTAAATAGATATTTACTATTTCTTAGATATTTTTCTCTCAGTGTAATGGAAAAAATGTGGTTAAAAAATACACGTTAAACGAAAACAATCTCGTCGATATACATGAATGAAAGAGATTTAAAGAAATATTTCGCAAATAGAAAAAAGTTGGATCGAATTAACGCGACAATGCCTCTGGCTTCGCGTTTGACTCGTTAATTGTCGCGTTAATTCAACCAAACTCTTTTCTCCGTGCGATATGATGAGGCCGATATGTAATTGACGTTGCTCTACATTTATCTCATATTTCCGTATCACGAACAGGATCTCGCAAATTCGGCTACGACGGCGCTAATAATTGTATTAATATCTCCATAGCGAGATCTACATTGCAACGACAAGACGATCTTGTATCCTGGTTTAATAGTGGTAAAACCGGCGTTTCCTTACACAATCATCGCGATAAGTTACGACACCTGACAATGGTATACCATGTAATTTCGTTCTCTCGTCGGTAGATCGCGATTGCGCAATTTTCGTCACGTCGTATACGAGATATTCGGCCGGACCTAGAAAGCGTCTAGGAAATGCTAATTCGTGGGAGTTACGTGCGCGCCGGGTGCCGACGAATGTATCCAACGGATTCTATAGTTGAATGAGCATTCTCATGCGAACGCGTTCTCGTTGACATTTATTTTCAACACGAAACAGTCGATAAGTTTACGATTGAGTCGATGTTCGCGTAGCGTGACATTCGTTGCCAAAATTCTTGCTTGATATCCTCGCTGTACCTTGTTTGTGCGAATATAAACATTCTTAGGAAAATTAACTTTACACTACATTATCAAAGATTACACAAATAGTACACTGAGAGAAAAATGATTAATCCAACTGAATTCTTTAATTGTTCTAGCACGAAAGTGAAAGTAATAACATGTATATAAGATTATTGTCACTAACGTTATAATAGAATATAATTTTAAAAAATAGTTTTCATGGCCATAATTTATTATTTTTCCTTACGTGATTACACAGTCAAAAATCTATATATAGATTTTTATATATAAATTTTTATACATAGATTTTTTAGTATCAAACTTTTTTTTTCAGTGTACATTGAAGGAGCCATAATAATAAGATGTACGAATCTGAAAGTCAGATACGAAATGGAAGTCAGATGTAAAGTCTAGACTTAGCAATGCATTAGGGCAAAATTTGAAATCTACAAAAAAGACATAATACATAAGACCATTACATAAACGCATATTTATAATATGACTGGAAATTCCACTTGCCTCTCTCGATCGTTCCGAGTTCGGAAGTCAGAGCTGCAAAAGCACGGATTCGCCAATCGAGTGGCAAAAAATTTTACGCGAGTAATGTATAATTAATTAATGATTCATTAGCATTCACACATATTGAACCCGTCGCGCTGGCTCAAAAATATTTGACGCAGACAGGTAGAATCTGATCGTGCAAATGTTCCAACGGACTTGTAAACAAGTAAAACAGGGAGATGGGCCGCGTGATTTTCGTCGCGTTCGTCGACGAAGAAAAATTAAAAATTGTGACGGCGCAGCGATTTA